AAAAAGAAATCTGTCAGGGATCCTTGAAGCTGATAGTCCCTAGAGATGCAGAGTTCATAAACCATGACATTGGATGAAAATGAAACTGACCCATCTGTCCGAATAATGCCACACTAGATCCTCCTTTCCATTAATGGACACAGAAGTCCATTGCAGGAAAAGTCTAACATGCAAAAGAAGCAGAGTATTCATTTTGTTTTGGGTTAATCAAAATCCCAGGTCCACAGGCTGCTTACTGTTGGCTCTGAAAGATATAGCCTGTGATGGAGATGTTCAATGTATGGAAGTGAGGTTAACCAATCATAAGCAAGATGTGATGATTCCTTGAGTGAGCCCAGTACCAGAACACCATGTATTGGCTCTGCTTTTATGGAAGCCTCTTTGGATGGCAGGGAATGTTCATGTTGTTCTGTCCCTGTCTTATGAGGGCTGATCAGCATTACATGGCTTCTCTGGACCAGCCAATGTGGGGCACCATGTGTGACCTGGGAAACAGATGACCACACAATAATGAGACTGCAGTGTCCCACAAAACTAACCAGGAAGGCTAACCTGATCAACAAATGCCCACAGAAGTCAGAGATATGTTGGCCGAAAGGCAAAGATATCACAGCCATGCTGTTAACGGGCAGAACATTGTTACATCTTTAGATAACCGCAAAAGAAGAATATCACAATGTGGGTTCTGACGTGTCATTGTGTGCCGCCAAAAAGCCTTACTTATAATGGCTAATACATGTGGTTTTGTTTGTTTCAGCTGAACATTAGTTTTCCAGCCACCGGCTGCCAGAAGCTGATTGAAGTGGACGATGAGAAGAAACTGCGTCCATTTTATGACAAGCGTATGTCTGCTGAAGTATCTGCAGACAGTCTGGGAGATGAGTGGAAGGTATTAACAACATTTGTAATTAGTCAGAAATTGGCATTGTTTTATTTCCTGTCTTCTGCACTTGTCTGATGTTTCTTTTCTTATTGGACGTAATGGGATGTGTTCACAGAGAGTGGCTGTGTTCACAGGAATGTGTGTTTACAGATAGGCAATATGTTCACAGGGGTAGGCTGTGATCACATGATAGGATGGTTAATAGGGACAGGGTGTGTTCACAGAGAGAGGGAGTGTTCACAAGATTGGATGGCTCACAGGGATTTCATGGTTTACAGAATGGGATGGTGGGGTGTGTTCACAGTATATCACCTTCAGTATTTTCCTATGTTTACTGAGCTGGTCTGTCACCTTCATCGTCTGGTGTTCACAGAAGTGCAGGGTCACACATCCCTATCTCTTGGACATTTGTAGATGGGGTGCAAGTTTCAGCTGACACAGTCTGTGTGTTTGTGGAAGATGTATATTTGATAGCTCATGTTTGTGTATATTGCCAGGGCTACATTGTCCGCATCAGCGGTGGCAACGACAAGCAAGGATTTCCCATGAAACAGGGTGTGCTGACCACCTCACGTGTCCGACTCTTGCTCAGCAAGGGCCACTCATGTTACCGTCCTCGCCGTACCGGAGAACGTAAACGCAAATCTGTCCGTGGCTGCATCGTAGACAGTACTCTAAGTGTGCTTGCCTTGGTTATCATCAAGAAAGGTGAGTCCTTGTCTGATAGCCTGCTGGCAGAACATGTCGGTTCCCAGAGAACATCTCCTGTCCTTCACTAACACATCCTGTCTCATGTCTCCACAGAACATCTCCCAGCAAACTTGATCTATCTGCTTCTACAGATCTACAGAACATGTTTCTTGCAACATCTTCTGTCCCCCGTCTCCACAAAACATTTCGTGTCTGTCCCCTTAAAAAATCAGTCTTCACAGAACATCTCCCAGCAAACATAATCTAACTGTTTCTTGCTTTAGAAAATTGCAGCTCTACAGAGCACCTGTTTTGTCACCACATCTTCTGTCTGTTTCAAAAAGAGATCTCTTATCTGTCCCCACTTAATTATCTCCTGTCTCTGTATTACATATCCCAACAAATATTTCTTGCAGATTCAACTGAGATGTTTAGTCAGCTGTCTGTGAAAGCAAAAGTTAGAAACTCCAGTTTCCTGATCAGCATTATGAGTGCTATGTTTTGTGCAGTAGTAACCCTAGAGTGTCCTGGTCCATTTTTTAAATTTTATTTGCAGTGTGATGGTTGTCACTTTTATCTGTGCATTTTCACATTTCTGTTCCTCTGAAGATTTTGTATTTCTGTATTGCAGTCTAGGTACTGTGTTTCAGTAAAATACATTTCTGTTGTGGTTGTTGTTGCCTTAAGTACAGACCCTGTCATGTTGTCGGTTCTAGGTGAGCAGGACATCCCAGGTCTCACTGACACCACCATTCCCCGTCGTCTGGGCCCCAAGAGAGCCAGCAAGATCAGGAAGCTCTTTAACCTGTCCAAGGAGGATGATGTCCGACAGTATGTGGTCAGGAGGCCATTGCCAGAGAAAGAAGGGTTTGTATTTGTCTAGTCCTGTCTGTGTTCTGTGTTGGTTCACCTATGTCCTGACTTTGTACTGCTAATGCGTGGTCTGGGGGCCATTGTCTGAGAAAGATGGTTTGTGTTGTTTTATTTGATGATAGTTCTTAATACCATACTAACTGCTTTTAGCTGTGTGAGGTGTAAACATGTGATTGGCTGATAGCTGTATATGTACACATGAGCTGGCTAACATCTGTGATGTGTAAATACATCAAGTCGTCGTGGCCGAGTGGTTAAGGTGATGGACCTGAAATCTATTGGGCTTATCCCACTTAGGTTTGAATTCTGCCCATGACTTTAATTTATAGCTGTGGGAGGTGTATACATCAGCTGGCTTATAGCTGTGTGATGTGCACACATATGAGCTTGCTTATAGCTGTGTGATGTACAAGATCCAACAATTGAGTAATGAAACTAATTCCTTAAAAATTAAAATAAACAGTTGAAGATATAACCTGTATTTTATTCAAAGTGAGCCCTTGTACATTGATACAGTGAGTAGCACGATCTAACAACACTGGAATGACCTCTGTAGTTCTTCATTTGCTATGACCCTCAAAGTCGATGTTACAGCCCTTTGGATGTCATCAATATTGTCAAAGAAGCGTCCTTTCAATGGTAACTTCAATTTTGGGAAAATAAAATAATCGCAGGGAGACAAATCAGGGCAATAGGGTTGATGTTTGAGAACACATACTTGTTTTGGGACAAAAAGTTCATGTTTTGATGATGTCTCGTGGTTACTCAACCTGCTGATTTCTTTGGTCATCAGACAATGAATGCTGTACAAACCTGCAAGCAACCCTTTTCTTACCAGAATCTTGCACTAAAATTTTACGAAGGGTCTCTATTAACACCAGATATATCTGCCATCACCCTGACAGTAAAGCAACGATCTTTTTGTATCCATTCTGGGACTTTTGCAATGAGTTCATCTTTACAAACAGAAATTGGGTGTCCAGGTCTAGTTGCATTAGTAATCATGTCTACACCACTTTTGAATTAGGAATACCTCCTGACAATCTGTGTACCAGATAAACAATTATTCCCACAAACCTATCGCATCAACTGTTCAGTGGCACTTTTTCTGAGTTTTAAACAGAATTTAGCTCCATGCTGATTTCGTAACAATGCACATCTAACTAGGTCAATAAAATGGCGGCTTGTTTTTTGTATGCTTATCAGGTTGTGATGCAAAGTTGCCAGATCTTAGATGAAGGTTGCCTCTTTAGATTCCATGTCTTGCTTCTTCATACATGGCACTTTTGTCTTGGCCCTAATAAATCAGTCTCAGTACCTAGTCGGACCTTGTAGACCTTGAGCTTGTCTATTGCAGAGGGCTGATGCTATGTAATAGGTGGGGCGTGAGTGTATTAGCGGGAGATGTGAACAGTGAAGGCTTCTCCGGGTATTTGCTGTAGCATTCTTTGTTTACCATCGGATGTAGATGTGTTTACTATATATATATATATATATATATTTTTTTTTTAAAGGGCAGCTGTGTTTACTGTGTAAATTGTTTACCATTAGATATGTTCACTGTATTGTCTACCATCTGAGTAGTGTATTCAGTGTGTTGTTACAAGGCATAATCCTATCCTGCAGGTAAGAAAGCAAAAAGCAAAGCCCCCAAGATCCAGCGCCTGGTGACCCCGGTTGTCCTGCAGCGGAAGCGCCACCGACTGGCTCTCAAGAAGAAGAGGGTGGTCAAGAAACGAGAGGATCATGCAGAATACCAGAAATTGCTGGCTGCAAGAATTAAGGAGGCCAAAGAACGCAAAGCAGAAAGGAAGAGGTCCACCTCCAGGAGTAAAAGTGACTCCATTCGAGAGTCCACTTCCAAAAAGTAAAGTAGAAATAAAATTGTGATGACAGCAGTGTGTATTATTCATCTAATTTGGACAGCTTGACTGATTGTTGTGTCTGTCTCCTTTTTGTTTTAATTATAAAAAAAAAAATATCAAAAACTCTTCTTAAAGATACTTTATTTCTCTAAAAGAACATGGCATTTGTCACGGATAAAAATCATAATAAATGATGCAGCAAAATATGGTCTCTATATTAAAAATATGACGCCAGCAAAATTTGCTTGAAAATTTAAGATAATTTATCAAAATGATGCAATGACGGGAAAAACTATGAAACAATTATCAAACACATGACACTAGCAGAATCTGTAAACCTACAATGACAGGAACATACAATGACAAAATCTATAACACTGATAATAAAGCTACAACACAGAACCTGTAAAACTGACAGTCAGTTCTTTAGGGATGTTTCTTAAATAGTGTGTGCGTGATGGCACAATGTACCCAGACAAGGGTGATCGACAACACATGGTACAAGCCTCAATGACATAAGTGCTGCAGAAGAAATTGTCAGTTGTTATACAAATCACTACAGTGATACAAGTCAGGTGATTACTGAAAATAAGCTTACATAATGTCAAGTTGGCCAGGTTATATGTGCAGCCAAACTGTATCAAACCCACATGCTTGGGTGTGGTATACCCGATTCACCAGGTGGAAAGTTAATAGCGCTGGTTCTGTGGAGGGTTGCCCATGGGTAGAGGTGGTCTGAACTGACCCCAGTTCTGCTGCTGTTGTTGTTGCTGCCCATACATGGACTGACTGTTGTTGGTCATGTCAGGTTGGAAGCCTCCCCCCTGTTGTGACTGGAAGTTACCAGGAGTTCCCAGTAATGACTTGCCAGCGTTATTCTGTGTATGAACAAACGGAATAGTTTACTCAATGCTGCCAGAACAGTCTATATATATTTAAAAAAAAAAATATCTAGCCATGCCATAACTAGGTAACAACTGTCAACAGTGCTATAAACATGTGAGAAAATTGTCAACAGTGCTATGAACAGGTGAGGAGTAAATGTTACCATGGAGCTTGCTATGCTATAAATTAGATTTTTGTACCCAGTGGAGGCATAAGTGCAGCATTAGAAATGGATCTGTCAGTCAACACGCTAGCCAGCTCATGGGGTTATTAGGCTCAGGTTGGAGAGAAAGAAAACAACTAATGAAGAATTCACCTGCTGGAACGAGAGCCAAATTGAATTTTTGGCATGCTTGATTGTTGCAATCAAGCATGCCAAAAATGAAGAAACATTTCAATTACAAACTTCTTGGTTGAACAGGTCATTTCCTTTGGGAGGTTGTGCTTTTGCAGGTACAAGCAGTTTTGATTATAGAGGTCATGGCGGTAACTAATGTGATGATTTATAAACGACTGAATAGTTCAATATGCAATGAGAGGAGATATCAAACCGAACAAAAAATATAACAAACAAAACAAGGTCGTTGCGGCTATGTAGCTTTCATCGGCACATACACAAATCAAAACAACCACACAAAATCACTTAGCTGGTATCTTGAAGCAGCCGGGTTGATGACTTCTCAGCAGACTGCTGATACATGTGGGCCAGGAGAATACCCCCCCCCCCCCCCTTTTTTTCATGTGGAGTACCAGGGGCCATAACTAGGGGGTTAGTGATAAAACTGGGCAGTTCAATTCCCTAGGGAATTCCCTAGGGGTTTAAATGAAACTGTTGAATGTAAATGAAACAATTTTCGAGAGACTTGCGGACTGGAGTGGCTAGATTTAATAGCTGTCACCTCCATGTCGAGGACACCTTGGTAATCCAGGGAATTAAAGTGCAATGGTACTGGTTTCAGGACACCATTCTGGAAATCCAAAAGATGTTGTCTGCACCTCTCAGCCAGCCATAGACCCATTTAGCCAATGTATTTCATGCCACATCTCTTGCAGTTGATGGCATAAATGACACTGCAGCTGGTGCGTTAGAATGCTTCATATGTGAAAACGAGAGCCTCGGCACAATGGACAGACCGTGCTGGGTGAAAGGTGGCAGATAAGAAGACATGTTCAGGATACCCTCGAAGCCAGAAGTCCAGCATTTCCAGGGCCTTGTGAAAGTCATCGTTCATCAAGCATAGTCTGTGGAGGTGTAGAAACTGGGAGAAAGAAATTGAGCCCTTGCAGGAAGAGGGATGGGAGGACATGTAGAGAAGGAAAGCATGGGAATCAGTAGGCCGAGGTGTAAATCATGCAATGAGGATCTGTCGATACACTGAGATCACGTATTCGTGAGTAGCTTGTAAATAAGTGACCTGGAGGTGCTGAAAGTTGGAAGGACTCACCTGGAAGCCTGTACTGAAAGTTGAACTCTTTAGGTGAAAGTTGGAAGGACTCACCTGGAAGCCTGTACTGAAAGTATTGGAGGCTGCTGAGGCAGAAGGCTGGGCAGACTGGTTGAAAATGTTGGACTTAGAGCTTCCTGGATTGAATGAACTCGTCTGTTGCTGGGAGAAGCCAGACTTTTGTTGCTGCTGAGTGTAAGTGTTTGGTCTGTCTCGGCCAAACTGGTCTCTGCCAGCAGATCTGTCTGAGCCACCGCTTACTTCTTGGTGTCCTCCACGAGAGCTGCCCAAAGCACGAGAAACACTATTATCATGCACACTTTTATCTCGTCAAGGCATCATTCAATAATATTCCAAACGTGTGTCAATGTGTTTATATGCAGTCATAGATGGCAATACATACATATCAATAGATGTTATCAGAGATGATCATACAAGCATGTCAAGTGACGGGCTTATATGTCAGTGTATATTTTCAGAAATGACCATACATACAACTGCTATTTGAAGTGTACGTAATACGAAACTGCTTAACAAAGTGTATGTAATACAAAACTGCTGCCTGAAGTGTCGCACCAAAACTGCATGCTGTTATTTATGATTTGGTCCTACCAACAACTCTCAGTGTAGCCCTACAATCAACTATGTTTGGCCCTGACCATCCATGCTCTGTGTGTGGCCCTAAGACATGAAGAGTCGAGTGTACTTGTGATGCCTGCACAATGATAGCAGATTCCAGTCTGTAGTACAATAGGTAGATCACTAGCTCTCACACAGTGACGGCAGGTTCCAGTCTGTAGTACAATAGCTAGATCACTAGCTCTCACACAGTGACGGCAGGTTCCAGTCTGTGATACAATAACTAGATCACTAGCTCTCACAAAATGATGGCAGGTTCCAGTCTGTAGTATAACAAGATCACTAGCTCTAACACAATGATGGCAAGTTCCAGTCTGTTGTACAAGATCACTAGCTTTCACACAATGACTACTATCTTGTGTTTCTCTAACTGGTGCATGCACGTTCTATGGTCAATAACCCAACGAAAAATATTTATAACGGCTTACAACCAGCACAATCATCACCTAAAAGCAAGGTACAACAATATATTACACAGTTCTAGTAACAAACTCAGGCCCAGCGAGACGTGACTGGAGATTCATTCATGCGTCTCAACCTTTGAGACGCGTTGGTCTGTAAGTGTCTGTTTGGCTCCAGGTTGTATTCTGGCGACCACGCATGCTCTGCATCACATGATGTGAGCAGTTTTAATGACCCCATAAAATGTACAGTTGGCCCTAACCCCAACCCCCCTACTCCACAGACCACAGTGAAAATGCAATGTTAGCGGCCGGTGCTCACACAAGATTAACATGCATTGCAGAAAGCTTTAGGAAGACGACCAGACACCAGGACACCCCTCTAACGTAGACCTTCCTGAGGAAGCATCAATGAAAGGTCAGCTAGTGTGCAGCTGGGTCCGATTTCTTTACTAGAACCCATTACACCTCAAGGCATAATCAATCAAACATCTGAACAGATCAACCTGGAGGTTTATCTCAACAACTCTACCTACCCAAATGCTGAGCTGCTACTTCCTCTTCCACTGCTGCCACCAAAACTATGGTCTCTACTGTGTGATCCGCTGTGAGAACCATGGTCATCTCTGGAACTCCGGTCCCGACCTCCGCCCCATCGGCTGCGACCTGGAATTAGTGGAAGGTGATATGAACAGCTGCAACATGAAATCTATGTAATACAATCTAAACTGTCATAATAACTGTGAGGCTAAAACAGCTGGCAACCGCCTATGAGACTGGTAGTTTGATGTGGTTTTGACACAACTTGCAACTGTCTAACTGTGAGGCTGTAGTACAGTTCGGGTGTGGCTGACATAGCTAGCAACTGTCTACCTGTGAGGCTGAAGTTACTGACAACTTGCAGCTATCTACTTGAGACTGGTACAGTCTGGGTGTGGCTGACACAACTGGCAACTATCTATCTGTGTGTAATGATTTAGGAGAGTCATACCAGGGTTGGCCTGCCTCCATTTAGGGAATAAACAGGCCGAAACAATTGTTGAAGGGTGACCTCTACTGAGGATTGGTAAGACTCCTGCTGTGTGTGCTTCTGTTGTGAAGTGCGTACTATAGGCTAGTTAGGAAACCCTTATTAACATAATTTATAGGTGAAAGGCAAGTAGGAAATCTGTAGCTAAATCAAGTTAGAGCGAATAAGAAAGTTCTAGCACAAGAAGTTGTGAGGCGCAAGGAAGCTGAGTTTCAGGTAAAAGTGCCAACGATAGCTCAGAGAGAGAAAAAAACTAAGATACTTCTGTGTTCTGATGCTGCAGTGAAATAGATGGACATGTGAAACTGGGTGGGTATTTCCAAGCAGCCAGCACTGACCACTAGTCTTTCCCTGCCTTTGTCTTATGTAAGCTACCCTCCAGGCCACCATGACGTTCATCACGGCCAAAATATATTAGCTTTCGGGACAGAATGCTGTTTATGAGCCAATTCTTCTCAATGCTCAGACCATGTAGGATGTCTGTTTTTTTTTTGTCTGCAGCATTTCATTTTAAAAGCTTATCAATGACTGACTGAAAGCCCATAAGTTGTTGCCAAGGGAAAGATGCATGTTCTCCACATTTTTATTTTCTTCTTCTTCTTCTTCGCGTTCACCAGCTGTAAACTCTGGTGGAAGGTTCTGGTTGCTCGTCCACTACTGAACTGCAGTCCTGCTCCAGAACCTGAGTGTTGCGTGTGCATCAGTTTTACAGATCTCATTCTCTTGTATACAGACTGTTGGTTCCTTGCCTCTCAGGCAGATGCACTCCGACTTCAAAGGAAGCTCTCCAATTAGTTGACTCTTACGACATGCTTTTGGGGAGGCAGTGGGTCTATTCTCGTTTTCCCCACAATGAGGCCCCGGACCCCACACGGGGGATTTTTATTTTAACTCACTTGCAGGTGCTGTGCCAAAGTAGCTTTTAAAAACCCGAACAAGATATGAAACTCTAGACTGCACTGTTCTAAAACCATTCTTATGTTTTTCAATTTGAACATAAGCTAGTGAAAGTTGTAGAACCAATGAAGACATGGAACACAAGTTTAATGCAAATTCCTGAAGAAAATGTTTAACATAAAATGGGATGAATTTAAGAGGTGACAAAATAAGAGAAATATCTGGGCAACCACTAGTAACGACTGTTACAAGACAAGAGATGATGGTGTTATACTAGATGCATCATGAGAGGAAACAAGCAGAAAATTATCACAGGTATTAAAATAGAAAATAGACTCAGGATGTCCAAAATTTTTTAAAAACAAACAAAATATGTAGGTGTCTGTGGCTAAAGAGTCATGTTCGGTTTCATAACTCTGACATACCAGAGTGAATCAGCTCTAGCAATTTCACACCAGCTTAATTTGTGTAGTTCAACAATGTTATTCAGAAAGTGATAGGAGAGTGATGAGACTGCGACAGCAAGAGACACTCACCCTTTGTGTGTGTGTGACTGACAGAGGCAACCACAAACGACTCATCTGTTATTTTTGTGTATGAGAGAGACACAGTGGGAGAGAAAAGCCATGAGAGTAGACTGCAACAACCAACAGAAGACAGCAAGCAACTCACCCTTGTGTGTGTGAGAGAGAGAGAGTGATTGCAACACCTAACTCACCCTTGCCGTATGATCTGGATGAATCTGCCATCTGTAACAGCTTGGGACTGACCACCTGCTTGGCCTCTCTGAGCACAGCAATCAGATCTGAGGCCTGTTTGGCGTTGGATGGGGTAAAGAGAGTGTAGGCTGTACCAGTGTTGCTGGACCGAGCCGTTCGCCCAATTCGATGAACATAGTCCTCCGAACAGTTGGGGTAATCAAAGTTGATGACGAATTTGATGTCCTCCACATCTAAGATAAGTTTAATGTGAATAACTAAAGAGCTTAGCTGAGGATTTCAGATGCCTCTACTAAGATCCTACTCAATTACCAGTGATTCCAGATACTGAAACCTGATTCTCTACCCCAGATGATTAGACCTGATCATCTTTAACCCCAGATGATTAGACCTGATCATCTTTAACCCTAGATGATTAGACCTGATTACTGTATCTCCCCAGGTATAAACGCACTGATCTAAAAAAATATATATATAAGGTCTAAAAACAGTGTGCATCATCCTATATGATAATAGATTTTTACCAAATTATTTATTAGAAAATATCTTGTACATTGCCTCATCTGGGAATGCTGGTTCAAGTGTGAGATAAACGAAAGAAAAAAAATTTCAAATTAACAGTTCTTACCCAATATGATTGTAGGTTTTTGTACTTGTTAAATAGTTTACATTTGCCCATAAATATCTCAGAAAATGTGTTGTGCAGTGCTGAATTCAAGTTAAAAGTTATCCAGTTTGCAAAAGTGAATGGAAGTAAACCTGGTCCTCCTCCAACTAAGAAAACAATCAGAGACTTGCTATGGGCAGACGAAAACCCTACTGAAGCAGGCCATGAGGCAAAATGGCCTGGTTTGAAGAGGGAATAACAGAGCAAAGAGCAATTGAAATTCCTGTGTCTAGTAAGATGGTTTGGCCTGAGACAAAAAGCACTGATGGTGAAAAAAGAAGCTACTGATTTCAAATAGAAGTTACCTGATTTCAAAGGAGGGCACTAGTGGTGCTGCAAGTTCATGAAAAACAAATATATTAACTTTACTTTTTGCCAACAATTTTCAGTTCCAAAGAAAGGTGCATCTTATACATGGGATCGTCTTGTACTTGCTGAAATATTGCACTTCTAGCCACTTAACAATGATGCTAACTAATTAGAAAGGGTTCAGAGCATGTCTGTAAAAGTTCAACGGCTTGTCAGTGGGGGCGTTTGCTTAATAAATGTCAAATATATATAGCGCAAGCAATCACAGGCATGCACTAGCATACACACACAAGTGACGGTAGTCAGGTCATAAAGCCAGTGTTCAACCTAAACATTATCATCTCAGTTTGGTATTGCTACCCCTTCAGAACTACTCTCCCAACTGGCAACATGTGCTATGCTCTGATGTCTGTCTACATCCAGGATTCAACCAGGAACCCATCACCAAGACATTATCAACAACCCTGACCAACCGCCCTCAACCTCACCCACTGCAACCAATGTCCAAGAAGTCATGTTAACCCAGTGACTGCCACACAGTAATATACACACAGGAAACAGGCAGAAAGACTGACACCCAAACAGTAGCAAAAATATACTCAAAAAGTGACAGAAATAGTGCACATAAAGAAGTTACTACAAACATACAGAAAGATACAGTTAAAAGGTGATACACAGGAATATTCACAGATGCATACAGGCAACATCACATAGAAAACAAGAGACACAGTGGTACACACAGTGCCTTGAAATGACACATATGCCGGACTGAAACACATCATCGGTGTGCAAGTGCCCGTTAGAACTGAGTTCTAAATGACTAATAAACCTCGAGTCTGATAACATGACTTCAGCCGTGGCCAGCGAAAACGGAGAGAGCTGTGGTGGGCGGCTGCTTGCAGGGCTTGTGCTGGACGTTTGACTGGGGTTGGGAGGCTGACAGGAAACTAGGACACACTGGAGACTTCACACTAGTCTTATACTTGCTCCTGGCATCCAACATATGAATACGTATGTATGACTGGACACATAGATGCCAAACATGTTTCTGGGATGCACAGGACTAACATGAATACACATATATCTCTGGACACACAGACACCTAAAATATGAGAACACGTATAGATATTCACAATCTAAGGCCTTAGAATGCATACATCAAGATGGCATCAGAGACAACTGAACTCATCACATGAGAGATTTACACATCTCAATATGTACACTAGTGTCACATGAAAGATCTACACATCACAATGTGTATACAACACGAAACCAGTGACAACAGAACTTGTCAATACGAGATCTACACATCACAATGTGTGCATTAACATGTCAACAGAAACAACTCGTCACGCATAAAACCTAGCACATATATAGATCTCAACTTGTCACCAGAGACACCTCGTCATGTATAAGACCTAACACATTAGCACATATAGGAGTCTCAACTTGTCACCAGAGACAACTCGTCAGGTATAAGACCTAACGCATTAGCACATATATAGATCTCAACTTGTCACCAGAGACAACTCGTCACGTATAAGACCTAACACATTAGCACATATATAGACGCATCAGATGAAATACTAGAGAAGGCTGATGATCCTTTCAGGAAAGAGAGACAGAGAGAATAGAAAACATCAGAACTATAATGGGCATCACATCATGCAGTGAATCCACTGAGACACTCCCAATCCAAATGGTATGGACAATTTCTCAGAAAACAACATTATGTTCTGGTTTCATGGTTTGAAGAATCAATATCAAAGCTTTCTGTGTGGGTCCAGAGCTCCACTGTGTGTGTGTGGGGGGAGGGGGCACTGACCCCCTAATAAGCATGTTGTAAAAATTGACTAATTAGGTGGTTTTCCTTTAAAGTGTGAATGCATCTGCCTGAGGGGCAAGAAACCAACAGTCTGCAAACAAATAAGCCAGACCTGTAAAATGGATGTGCAAGCAAAACTCAAGTCTGGGAACAAGACTAAAGCCCAGAAGTGGACTAACAGCCTGAACTTTCCACTAAAGTTTACAGCCAGTGAACACAAACAAGAAGAATATCTGGGTACTCCAAGCAAATCTACACATACTACGTCTCCCTCAGCAAATGCTGAAGAATGTAGATGCTGATCATTTTGTTTCATCCTTTTATCTGTGCCTTCTTGCCGGAGCACAATCTTCTCTTCCTTCTTTATGGGAGGATAGTATTTTACTGTGTACGTTTACAGCTCAGCTATAGTACTAAGCTTTCAGTCAACACATGTGTCTTTCTCTGGCATTTGCTGCCCAGGTTAGCCTTCCTGGCTAGTTTTGTGGGACATCATCATCGTGTCATCCTTGTTTCCTAATCCACAAAAGATACAGTTCCCGTAAACAGACTCACTGACACCTCTACCTACTAAAAACAGATATGAGGACACAACTCTCTGAAGTAAGAGTAACAATCAGCTCAGATACAACAGATGGTGATATAGCCACAAGCGAGACCTGGTAGCCAGTGAAAGCTGAGTGTGATAACATCCATGCAAACAACACTCAGGGGCCAACAGTTCACTTACACAAACTACACAACTGTGGTGGGCCTGAGAGCATCAATTCTAACATGGCATTCATGGAGGGAACGTCTCAAGTTGGTATCAGCCTCACAACCGCAAGAACAAACAGAAATGTCCACCCAAGGCTGTCCCAGACCACGGCAGTCTGGACCTTGTTCACACAGATTCTAACCCTGGTCAGCCATGGGCAAGAAGGGGGATGCTTACGACACAGCCAACCTGATGAAGCAATCAGGCATCCAGCAACTGGCAGACCCCTAGGGAATCCACCTTGTCACTGGATCTAAGATGATGGCTGGGTGGTAGCAACAGATCCCTCTCTAGATTCTCGCTGCACGGGTCTCCAGTCATGATCAGACTTGTACTTGAGGCTCAGCTTCTGTTGAGATATATGCTGCCTGGTTAACACCAACCAAAATGGCTGTCATTTTGTGTGTGTGTGTGTGAGGGTGTGGGAGACACATAGTACATGCCGTCTGGTTAACATTAAAAAAACATGACTACGTGTTACTCTGTGCATGTCAATCTGTCTCTCCCAAAGTATGTTTTGTGGAACTGGTGACATGTGCTATACTCACATCTGTGTATGTAAGAATGTTCTTGCATGTGAAAATATGTATGTTATAGCAGTACTTGTAAATACACTGCCAAGAAGTGTTGGTACACTCATATATATGTGTGTGACACTTGTCGATATGTGCGTCACAGTAAGTATCGGTAAACTCATGGATACATGTGTCACAGTTAAGTAATGGTTCATTCATGAAAATGTGCGTCACACTAAGTACTGGTACGCACTTGAATACATGTGTCACAGTAAATGTTGCACTCATATGTGTGTCATAGTAAGTGTTGGAACACTCAAAAGATGTGTGCCACAGTTAGTGTTGGTATACTCATAGATATGTCTCCCCCAGTAAGTGTTAGTTAGTTAGTTAGTTAGTTGGGTTATCCTCATTGCACTCCGGACATGTCCATAGGTGCTCAGATCCTCCCCTCAGTATGAACCCCAACGTCCGATGGCTAATAGTACCAGTTCTATGTTGATTAACAAGTCTTCTGGCGTAGCTGGTGTGCGTCTCGTTTTTTGCTGTGCCGATCTTAATTCCCAAGTCTGCCATTCTGGCGAGTGATGTGGATTCACTGCCACCAAAGTCCTCTATTCTTCCCATTTCTCTGAGGGCATTGATAATATCAGCATGATCCATAGGCTGACCGTCGGTAGTAATAGCGGATCCAGCCAACCTGTCAGCTCTTTCATTTCCATCGACGCCTGCGTGTCCCGGAACAAAAATAAAGGTGACTCCACGAACAGTGGACTTCTGTAATGATTCAAGCCATTGTCTTCGCACTGAACCTGCCTGAACCCTCCGGATCATACTCATTGAATCACTGAGTATACACACACGGGTGTATTTTTGTGTTTCAAGCCAGGCAAGCGCTTGTGTCACTGCCATCACCTCCATCGTCATGCTGCTGGTTGTCATGTTGAGAAGGCGCCGTTGGCTTCTTTGACTGTTCTGCCCGCTGAGCGTGCTGTAAATGCCCATGCGCTTCTTCTTTGGCGTATAACGGATCCGTCTGTATAGATTATTGCATCTGCTTCGTCTGAATTTTCACCGATGAGAGCGTTGACCTCTGCATTAACAGCAACAGGATTCTCTTCTCTACATCGCCTGTTGAGTGTGACAATACAGGAAAATGT